GGCTGATGCCGATACGGAGTCGCGTAGAACCTAACGGGTAGCCGGGGCTATGACTCGAAGTGCAGGAGTACGAATGGGGTGGTTTTTTAGTTAGTAAGAGTCTTGACACTCCCTCCCGCCTCACCCAGAAGGGCAATTCGAGGATTTTCCCCACTTAAAAAAACTCATGGTGTTTACGTAATACTTGAACGGCCCTAAAGGAAAATGTAACTAAATATGTACACACGGTCACATCAATCTATACAAAACCAGTTTATCCTGGTGTCGCGTCGCATCATCTTTCCGCACATTTAACGTTCAGTTTATACTGGTTATGTAAAGCTCGATCTGTAGCCGTGTGTACAACTTAAGAGACACTATAACTAGAGAAAATTAAATCAAACAAAATTAAAAATGACTTACAGAGAGCATAAAAAAAACCAGCGGCTGCCGCGGCTGGCAGCATTGCCAGGTGGCAATGGTCAGACCGCGATACAGACCGCTCTCTGGTCACGAGATGCGTCGACCAGGCGTGTAAATATTTTTAAATAATGTGTAGGCACCCGGATCCCACGGACCTAACGTCTCAACAATTATAAAAAATTGTTTAGGGACCTTTGAAGGGTAAAAAATTTTCACAAGGGATTATATAGGTACCTACTAATAATAACTTGTGTGGAAACTGGAAAATTTCCCAGGTACCTACCTCTGCCCAAATTAGCGGACTATGATTAGGTACTTTAGTTTTTCTAAAATTTGAATGTATGCTTTAAGCGACAAATTTATTTTGTGATTTTTGTGATATGACTTTTGTGATAACTAAATAAAAATAAAAATTGCGAAGTTCTTATTAATTTTTGCTTACGCACGTTGGGGGCCTCTGTAGTTCGGGGGCCCTGTATAATTGATACGGCAGATCTGGCGCTAGCTATGGCAACGACTTCTAACCTATAACCTATAACCAACTAATAATAGTTATTTTTTGTTTTTTAATTTTGACTTTTTGTTTGTTATTAGTTTTTGGTTTTTTGAAGTCGGTTTTTTAACTCGTTGAGTACCGTCATCTTATATCTTATATTATTATACTCTTATACTATTAGATAAAGCGGAAGAGTTTGTTTGTTTGAACGCGCTAATCTCCGTAACTACAAGTCTGATTTGAACAATTCTTTTTGTGTTAGATACCTAGTGAATATATCGAGGATGGCTATAGGCTATAAAACATCACGCTACGACCAATAGGAGCTGAGCAGAGCGTGTTAAACCGCGCGGAAGTAGCTAGCTATATACAGACACAATTAAAGAACAATAGGTTGCGGTCACCGGTGACCGCTCGGTGTTTGAGAGTTTTTTATAATTTTATCATTTTCAGTGTAAAGCTACATATACCCGTTTTTTTTACTTATAATCTACATAGGTACGAAGTTCTAATCAATACAAATTATACAAGCCCAAACACAAGGTAGTTACAGTATACCGTTGAGGAGTTCCCTTAACAATTACAGTTCTTCATCATCAGACCCTTAAAGACAGCCCCACTTTATCTAGGTGTAAAGTCCTCATCAATACAAATTAATAAAGTAATACCCAAACACATGGTAGTTAATATAAACCGCTGAGGAGTTCCCTCGACTGTCTGTCGGTTCCATCATCAGGTCGACTCCAGACCCTTATCGAATTGTAGAGTTTAAAAATCGTAATTGAAAAACATAATAGACGCATTACTCGCCCATAGAATTTTCGAAAGTTCCCCTCGGTTTCCCTAGGATCCCATCATCAGATCCTGACCTCATGGAAATGGGACCATCTCGGGAGTAGGTATACCCTTTCAAACAAAACAAGAATTTTCATAATCGGTTCACAAATGCGGAGTACTGCGCGAACAACCAAAAAAAAAATAGTACCTCCTCCTTTTTTTGAAGTCGGTAAAAAGAGAAAGGGAACCAATATTGAACTTTGAGGAACGCCCATATTCATCCCAGAGCCCTGCGAGTTAATTCGGCCTTTAACTGTCTTTCTTCTAAATAAGATTTCATAAGACGGAGCGCAGTTTCTTAATCCGTAGTGAGAAATGCTTTTGAGAAAAATAGTGAGAAATGCTTTTGAGAAAAATAGTGAGAAATGCTTTTGAGAAAAATAGTGAGAAATGCTTTTGAGAAAAATAGTGAGAAATGCTTTTGGTCACAAAAGACGCCAATAGCATCCTGTGCTTCCTCCCAAGCGCCAAATATTTCCCTAATCAAAGTGACACCGGCGTCCGTTGTGCAACGACCTTAATTGTTGTTGGTGAAATATATAATGTTTATTAAAATGATGGAGCATCAGAGACTACATCGACTTTTTAAAGACTTTGCTGAGAACCGGCAAAACAGACACTGGCCTATAGTTGTTAGGTTCTTTAGTGTCACCACTTTTTAAATAGTGGGATAACTTTACTATATTTCATTAGGTCAGGGAAAATACCGTCGTCTATACATTTATTGAAATCACAGCCAGATATGGCGCTACAGTTTGAATCAGTGACTTGCAAACTTTTACCGACAATCCCCAAAGATCGTCTTGATTTCTTTAAAAACTTTTATAATTTCTAGTGGATTCGTATAAGTATCGAAAACTACAGGCGTGTTGACACGATTCTATGTTGTTCTTAAGCAAAGTTACAGAGAAGTTTGCTGATGACTTTAAATGTTCAGTTTTTTGATAGGAATGTTGGTAAAAAATATTTCAAACTCTTGAGCTACATCTACGTTTGATGAAATCTGTCCCCTTTCGGTATTTAAATTAATTTATGAGTTTCTTTACACTATCACCATTCTTGCTGGAGGAGGTTGGTGTTTATTTTCTAAGCTATAGTTTGAAATTATATTTGTTTGTTCTATATGGACTTAATGTTAATTGTCTATGGCTTATGCCTAAACAATCCCTTGGGACTTGCCAGTCTGGTTAGACTGAACTGAACTGATATGCTCAAGAATAAAAATAATGGCATAACATGCCATTAATCTCCAAGCCACCACAACATTAAAGAAAACTTACATAGCTATCAGTGAAAGAAATAGCAATATTCTTTAATGCATGTTTATTCACTCGATTCTTGACGTTCGATGTGAACAGACGTGCATACTAGAAATATTGAATCAAAGCAATAATAGTGACCTACATTATTATTCTGCTTATTGTGATACCTCGTTATAAATAATGGAAATACAAACTTAGTTGTTTCAAAGATGGATTTAAACCCGAGTAAGCTGGCTTCCTGTACTTCACCATTAAAGAGCAGCCGTAATTCTGACTTCTCGATAGAAGCTGTGTCGACGCCCGATATTCAAAATTGGATGTCAAACATTGAAGACCTGTTACATGAAGTTTGCACTATTGCCACAGAGGGCAAACTTAATTCGGAACAAAAACTTAAGATATCAAATCTGAGCCGAAAAATAGGTGCTGATGTCTCGCAAATGGCTGTCTTATATCAAGCTCTGAAGCAGCAAGCCCGTATAGCCGTTAACATTATAGATGAGATGAGAGAAAAGCAGGACCTTGTGGAACAAATTTCGGACATCAAGCAGACTATCAAGGATTCAAAATCAACGGGAAATGTTTCATTTGCTGACATGGTAAAGAAGGGAACTGACTTCGTGCGACCTACAAAACTGACTTCTATTGCAATTTACCCAGCAAATAAGTCAAAATCTAGCGATGAAACAAAATCTCTCGTCCAAAAAATCATACGCCCTGACCAATTGCAGCTACATGTACGTGGTGTTCGTAAAATCCATAATGGAGGCGTTATAATCAGCACTGAGTCCAAAGAAGATGCTAAGAAAGTTAAAGAAGCACTAGCCCTATCATCATCTGGACTTATTGCCGATGAAGCAAAGAAACGAAAACCAAGAATCACTGTCGTAGGAGTGCCGTCTACTTTATCCGATGCTGATGTCCTCAGGTGCATATTCGAGCAAAACATAGCTGGTAAGGTCCAAGAGTTGACTATAGAGTCTTTCCTAACGACTGTGAAGTTAAGTCACAAATCTGGCAGAAAAGATGCGCCGACTTGTAATTACATTATTGAAGTTCCGGCCAACATCCGTAAAGTGCTTATATCGCAAGAGAGACTCTATATAAACTGGACGTCTTGCCCTGTCAGAGACTTTACGTTGGTAACGCGTTGCTATAAATGTCAGCAGTATGGCCACGCGGCAAAGACATGCCGGGAGCTCCACTCAGTGTGTGGCCATTGTGGAGAAACAGGACACATGACATCCGTTTGCACGAAGAAAATCGACATCCCTAAATGTTCAACATGCTCTCGCTTTAACAAGCCCAACAGTCATAAGACAGGAGACGCAGAGTGCCCAGCCAGGAAGATAGCCGAACACAGATATATCAATTCCATTGATTATGAAGGCGCATAAAGTGACATATGCTAAGTAGAAATTCCAATTCGATTAGTCATTACGTTTAGTTTAGTTCATTTGTACAACAATTGGATATTAACAGGTTAGCTTACTTAGCAATTTATTGCTGTCCAAGCACATTTGATCAAACTGTAACAAGTGAGTGACCGTATGGACTCTGACCTAGTTTTTTGTGTTTCTGCAGACGATCTAAAATAATTGATAGCATAGTAACATGTAATATTATCTAGTTTATATATGAATATAGTTTACGATATTTATATAATTTTATATTAATGTATTATGTAGGTTCAACTTTTTATTCTCCTTCAGGGAATAAAAAGCGTGATATTATGTGTATGTATGTAGTGTAGTATATTAAAAAATCCAACCTCTGCATCCAATCCTGCAAATTGTGTTAAATATTTCAAATATACTATAAATAAGTTATCTTACATTAACATATTTTTAGAGCTACTATCGCCTGTGACACAGGAATATTCCTAGTATAGGCATAATATTTTTAAGATCTTGTCGCTTAATTAAGAATTAATTTTGTACCTATGTTGACCAGTGTTATTATGAATAAAAAAATTTATTTATTTATTTATTTATTTATTTATTACCAGATCACATTTCACATCTCCTTGTTCATACACAATACTAAATATATTATAATTATATTCTTAATAATATTCAGAGTTGACAAACACACCACTGCAATTAGTAATGAATAATTCTATCCCAACCATAATTTGATAAGTTGGTACCCTGTAGCAACTCTTGCATAGATTACTGTCAGAGCAGTTAACCACTGTCAAGTAACACTGATTTCTTTTGTCTTTAATGAGACAAGCCACTGACAAGACACATTGTTAATATCTGTATTTTGTGGAGTAGTCTTTGGGCGAGACGACAAGACCACGGCCCTTACGTGCGCCGCGGTACACTGTCTCTATAATGTCAATCATCTCCTGCTTGTCCTCCAGAGGCCAGTTGATTTTGTTGTTGTTACCCGTGCCCAAGTCAATCATTATGTGCTTATTCCGGAAGAAAAACATCACCGTGCATGGATCATACAGCTCATACCTGCACAGCAAAAAACATCAAGTTGAGTCAAAATATCTTATTAATTAACAACTAACCTATCATATGATGTTTGAGGCTGAGTATTTATAATAAGTCATTTTGATTTTTCAGTGTCAAGCTTTATTTGTCACCTTGTACAATAGGGATGTTGACTAAATTTTATTCTAAACTCTGGTTGATTAATTCCCAATATTAGACACATACTTTTTTTTCCATTGATGATGTATTGATTTAGATTGGAATATTGAGTGATGTTATCATTTTCTACCTACATTAAACTGTCAAACACCAAGCGGTCACTGGTGACCGCAACCTATTGTTCTATAATTGTGTCTACAAAACCGGTACTCGACGAGTTAAACTGTCAAACACCAAGTGGTCACCGGTGACCGCAACCTATTTTTCTATAATAGTAATTGTGTCTATAATGACGGAACTCGACGAGTTTAGTAGCAACCAGTGACTTAGCTACCTCCCTCTCTTAAACTGTCAAACACCAAGCGGTCACCGGTGACCGCAACCTATTGTTCTATAATTGTGTCTACAAAACCGGTACTCGACGAGTTAAACGTAAAAAGTTTGAGCTAAAGGCGGCCACACACATGCCAGGATTTGCGTGTTGGTTATACCTTTGCATGCAAAACCAACAAACATAACTGAGCACCGAAGCACCAATAACTGTACAGTTTAATCACATACACGCTAGGGCTTCCCTGTCACAAACCCTTGAAATGAAACACCTCTGAAGTTACAAAGATGCAAATGATCGTCATAGATATCTAGATACATACATTTTGTTAAAATCAGGAACTTCTGTGATGTCCACCAAATATATAACAGCGAAATTTTTCACTTTCTCTGCAATACTGTACAACACTTCATCCATCTTCATGCAGGTTGGGTCCCAGTCATGACCAAAACGTATAACCTAAACATGTTACACATTACACAATAAATATCTTCCAAATAACCACATTCTAAATGCTGGTATAATAATAATTGGTGATTAATCACGGTGAATGTTCCAGAGTAACCTGCATAATATATTCACAGAATATGTGCCGAGAAATAAATGACATTATCATTAACATTGAAGTGTTGTTACAACAATACTTGTTAATACCGTCCTCTTCACTTAGTAAAGTTCTACAACATACCATTTTAGTAAAAACTTGCTGTTGCAGAACTTCTCTAAGTTACAGAGATATTATTATGATGGTTTTAATTGCAAGTATAGCTGTGTCAACATATACATTTTATTGTACTATCCGATAACGAGCTGTAAATCACAATAAACTTACAAAATTAAAATTCGCGGGCTACCATGAAACATTCACTTTAAAATGAACGATGAAATATGTTGCTCTAGCAATTTCTATGACCTTAGAGGTTATGAACATAACGGCGGCTTACCACAACTCTGTCTTCTTCTGACAAAATAGCTTGGTCTACTTGCCATCCATTATGTAAATGCCCAAGCATGTAACTCATCGTAAAGGTTTATAAGTGTCTTCTTCGAAAGCCAACAGTCAAAACAATAACCTTTACTAACAAACAAGTATAGGAATTGTATAGGAATTAGTATTATTTATTTACACAGCACACTTATTGCAAAGGAAATATTTTTTTCTAGCTTTTTATTGTCAAAGTAATAAATTTTAAGATAAATTTATTATTATATCACTGTCTCTTTGACACTACTGAGCACCTACTGAGTGAACTGGGCGAATTGTCATTTGTCAACTGTTTTCTGAGTGTCACACTGTAAAACCATAGACTTATTTAATCATAGCATAGACCACAGTTATATACTCGTCAAAACTACTTAAAGGGCCCACGGGGCCCACCTTGTTTTAATGCTTATATTAAAAAGCATCTATCTGTTTCTGGTTTTTAAGAACAGAGATGTTTTAATCGTATTATGATTTTTTTAGAAATACCTAAAAAATACACTTTTTTGGTAAAGTGCACCAAAATATCCAATGTAAAACTTAATCTCAATTTTCCACTGTAAGTATGTATGTACAGTTAAGAAGCCGGTCTCGAATAAAATAAGAAACAAAAATACACCTCAGGTAATTTTAAAGTTGGCGCTTGTAACTATATTCTTTTAATTTCCGTTGGTATTAGATTGAAACACCTCTTTTTTTTTTAAAAAAAAAAACGTTGCCCCACACTAGGATTTTCTCCTGTGTCGTGGGTGCGTTTACAAACATACAAGTTCACATACACAATGACACCCAGACCCGAAACAACAATTTGTGGATCACACAAAGTGTTGTCTCGTGCGGGAATCGAACCCACGACACGTTGCACGGCAGCCAGTTGCCCAGCCACCGCACCAACCGTGCGGTCAATGGTCTTTAAAATGCTGTGAACAAACTATGATAGTACGTTTAGAAGTCCAGGATAGAAGATTTGTACAAGCTTAAATCTAGTCAGTGCATTTTCTGGAAATTCGAAAAAATAATAGACAGAATAAATAAAAGTCAGGAATTCGATATCGATATTTATTTCTGTCTGCTTCATCATTCTGATTATTATTCTTCGACAGTTCGACGTTGGAAAGCTGAAGTATCCGGGTAATATAGGAAGGTTATTGACGGATGAGAGCCAGCATTCGGATAACATTAAGATATCACAAATTAAATTGTATTCTGTTTAGTAATATTTAAGCTCAGAAAATTAATTAAAATTAAAAAAAATTAAGCGAATACTTTGTTGTACCGAGGACCGCCCTGAGGACACGGTGGAACACACTGTAACGGAATGCCCTACGTGGCCTGAGCTCCGCCGTGCCCTCAAGGAAGTGATCGGCGATGGCGACCTCTCGCGTTTGGGCCTAGTACAGGCCATGATGCGGAGCGAGGGGGACTAGGATACCGTCTCCTCCTTTTGCGAAGCAGCCATGCTAACTAAGGAGGAGGCGGGACGCGTGAGACAGCGAAGCGCTGCCTCCTCGCAACCCAGCCATCGCGAAGGACACACCGGGCGTCGGGGATCGCGGGACGATCTCGGTGGCTCCCCGTCCGAACAGAAACAGACCCGAGCGTACGGCGCGTCGCGTTCCGCGCGCGCCTCAAAGAGCCACCAGACCACCACAGATCTCTGGCTCGACGTGCAGGATAAGGAACAGGGTGGTTTTTAGTCACTAAGAGTCTGACACTCCCTCCCGCCTCACCCAGGCGGGAGCAGCAATTCGATGATTTACCCCCCTTAAAAAAAAAACTTTGTTGTAGTATTTTTTTAAGTACAAATTAGGATTTGATAATTCATTTTTACATAGCTCAGGGTCCCATGTATGCAGTTCCGTTAGGTTGAAACTGTCAATATAATTTATATTGTTTATATCAGCGAATTTTGCTTACGTAATAAAGTATCTAGCCCTTAGTTCTACCGTTAAAGCAATTATTATTATTATACCTACCTGACATAAAATTATCGATATGGGAACAATTAGGTATTACCATATCACTGTTTTTCATATAGAAAAGTTGTAGACACAATTCAATTGATTTCAATCAAAGATATTAAAATAAGAACTGCATCTGTTTGAAAATTATTGTACATAATTAATCTATTTTTTGTTGCAAGCATTGCTTACTTTATGGGGATTCCTCCGTCTTCATCATAGTAGCTTGTATCAGTCGAAAGTCTAAGTAGATTTAAACAAACTTTCATGCCCTACTTTATCCAATGTGGAATTTATCAAAATCCTTTCTTAGCGGATGTCTACATCATAACATCTACCTGCATGCCGAATTTCATCCCGATCCGTCCAGTGGTTTGGGCTGTCGGTTTTTTAAACGTAGTTTTGTTTATAAATGTATTATCATATGTTAGGATTTATCTAACAGTAGGTAGGTACATACATACAAGGACTTTTTATGTTACATATTAATTCTCCACGGTCTCTTGTTCCGTACCCCTGTCTCCTCTCCCCTCTTACATTTTTTTATGCAATACGTGTAATCAGTATTTATAAAGTAGGTATAGTATAGTATAAATAAGTATATTATAGTATATAGAATAAAAAACCCTAACCTAACACACCACGCCCCCGACTGTACGACATTTGGCTAATTCCAATAGAGCTTACAATAGTCCAAAAGTTAATTGGTTAGTCCTCATGTTGCATCCGTTTTATCACAAGGAACATTCCCCACCCAGGTTGTAGTCCTTAATCCCTTGCTCACTCTCATCACCCGCCCTCCTGATTAGTTTGCTTATTTTTAATTTTAAAAGGCTTCATGCACACACTAATGTAGGTATAGGTAAGGTGGGCTTAATGCCATGGGCATTCTCCTTCAGCCAGACCTTTGCGTGATGCAGAGACAAAATGGTCGATCCAAGAATAGACTTACATAAAATAAAACCCTATATAAACTTACCTGTATATGACACAACAATAAACTTACATAATTATACTACATGTATCATAATAAATGACACATTATATAATAGTTACAGTATATTATTAGGTACGACTCTGTCAATCTCTTCAAAAGTAGCTCCCGAACCTTCCGCTCGGATGACAAACAACTGGTCCTGATATCGGGAGGGAGCGCATTCCATAGAAGAATAGACAGAACAAAAAAGAAGAATGAAGAAATTTGGAAGGGGCGAAGGGCTGTCGTATGGGCAATTGCCACTTTAATTGCAATCGGTATGCAGAAACATGATCATATCTACGCAGGTTGAACAGGATTCGAATGCAGTTATTCAGAAGTGGGTCAAGTTTATTGAGATCTGCATTCAGATCGTAATAACACACATCAGCATATTGCTTGTCGCGTCTTCACAGGTACAAGGACTTCGTAACTTAGTAAGAGGTGTTCACCCATCCGTGGGCGGCGCTAACTGCTTACCATCAGGTGATCAGTCTGCTCGTTTGCCGCCACATCCTACAAATTGTGTAAAGTGCAGATCTATCTGATTGCCTGACTAGATCTCTCCTATACTTTTAAAACGTTAAACGCCATGGGGGTCACTCGTGAAGTGGTGACCGACGTTAGCGGAGGATTTGCATTGAAACCAACGATGAATTAGTGGAGCATTCTGTTTGTTTACCTGGTAGCGAGTGCGCGGCAGAGCGCGGCCGCCGGCCCGTGGGGGAGGGGCTCTGGCGCCGCGCCAAGTCGCCACCGGAACGCGGTCACTCACCAAAACATACTGATTTCTCGAGAAAAATAAGAAACCAGCGCATCGCTCGCAGAGCTCAGCGAGACGTGGACTGTGTTGGTTATAGTATACCAGTTTCTGCTACCGCTGAGGTATAGTAATGTTAGTCAGAGCCATGTCATACGCCAGTGATATTACTTTAATTTCTTAATCTGTCACACATTCGCAGGGCCCGCTCGCTGCGGCTCGCAGCATTGAGGTCGTGCGAGTGACCCGCAGCGCGCGGCGCAGTGTCATCTTGTCCTCGTTTCGCGGTGAGCTGCGGCTGATGCTGCGCACGCATGCCAACTAACTGAATTGTGGTTTACATCAATGTCCCCAGAGTTGTAAAACAAGGAGGTATGAGAATGCTATCAGCATATTATTGTAATAGCCTAACGACCAGCAAGCCGCAGCCATAATCACTACGTAGAACGTTGTTGCATACTCAGGTGCGTCTACTCAGCGGGTACGCCGCGGCGAACATGTCCCCGTGAGTGGCCCATGGACACGGTGTACCCGCCCTCGGCGTCGGCGCTGGCGCGCGGCCGCCGCCTGCGCCGCGCCGAGCCGCGCCTGCGCCAGCGCACCACGCCCGTCACCTTCGCCGAGATCAAGGTACGTATTCGCTTGACATCAACGCCATGTTTTTGTGAAACTTGATAAGTGTTTACATAATATGTATACCTATACTATATTATAGGTATACCTATATTATAGGTATCTAATATCTTGTTGTGTGTGTTACACATCACGCTACCAATGAGTACAATAGTGTATGTTATTGTAATGAGGCCCACTTAATTTTTGTACTATTACTTTCGTGATATATCAAACAAATTATATTAATTATTAATAATTAGTATTTTTTGGATCTCTCATGTACCTGTTTGATAGGAAACTCGACTGGTATCAAGCACTTCTAGAGGCTGATATTCATGAGGAGCATTCCACGACACCCGAAACGGCGATTGACACGTTGCGCTGACATAATTCACTTAGTTTAACTGTACGAGTCATCTACCGTACAGGGCACGCGCACATTCACATCAGCACTTTTACGGCGCTTTACTCAAATCAGTGTAATAAAGCGCCAGTACACGTTCAGTACTCATATACATCAGTATTCGCCACATCAACATAGTTAGTATTAGTTATTTGGTAGCGAAGTATATAATAAACGGATATTCTTTGACTATCAGTGATTTCTTCCTATTTAAATCTCAAGTTGTGTGCGCCACACTCAGCAGCGCATACAAGTACACTACAGTTATCACTGCTGTTTGTTTTGAAGTTCGGGCCAATGTTATTCCGCAGGGTCAAAATAAACCAAGTAAAATGAGGTGAATAGGGTTTGAGCGGCGAAAAGGGACAGAAGACGGGTGAATCGATACTATGATAAATTTCCTTATATCTATTCACCCCTCTTCTGTTCCTATGCACCTCTCAAACCCTATTCACCCCATTTTACGGTATCCGTGAAAAAATGTTGAATGATCGGCGTGACGTAGGAGGTGGACGAGGAGAGTGCAGAGGCGGAGGTGTGCGGGGAGCGGCGGAGGCCCGACGTGCTGGAGGAGCGCCTCGGCCGGCAGTTCGCCGAGTTCCGGCGCCGGCGCGCGCGCCGCGACCTGCTCCGCGAGCACGAGTCGCCACCGCCGCCCGCCCCGCACGGGCCGCCGCACGGTCCGCCGCACGGTCCGCCGCACAGTCCGCCGCTCGGGCCGCCGCATGGACTGCCGCGTGCCGGCAGCGAGCCCGCCGCGTTGCACCGCCAGGCGCAGCCCTGACTCTTATTCACATCTCTTATAAATACAATGCTGAAGTAGATATGTTGACGGCGGTACTTGCTATTATGCCACATTGCCTGTAACCTGCACCGTACTCGTCATCTCGTCGAAAGGAATTTGGTATAACAGATTGTATTTATTTGAGAAGGATGGACGCAATGATTTCCTATAATAATAGGGAGGCACTTCGTTGTCAAATAACAAGTAAAAGTGATAAAAGTGATGAAACAGGATAGCAAGATACGCGCAGTCATTATACTAAAATAAAACTCGCCGAGACTGTATTCAAGTGTTGTATTATCAATGTACAATAAAATAAATAGCTGTGGGCCCCGCCTCGCGGGCATCAATAAATACAAGTACTATGTGGCTACACTAGCTCTGTATCTGTACAGCTGTACACCACGCTCGTACCTATCCTAATGTTATGTATAATATTATTTATAAAAAGTATCAACAATTTTCCCTACTAAATTGTCCTCGTTATATATATATCAGGCTTATTCCATATTACATAATATATTAACTTAATTGTAAACAGTCATAAACAGTTTCCGTATTGTTCTAAATTGATTTCGTTTACGTAGGCAAGTGAACAATACGCTCTGCGCTATATAGAGTCGCACCAAGTGGCGCACTGTAACAATATAACAACGGCTTACTGCAGTAGTTGGCACCTCGTCGCGGACTTAGCTACGGTAACTAACGAGTAACAACATACAAAACCTAATATTATTCAATAATTTATTATCGTAGGGGCACTGCTTAGTCTAACTCGGGCGGCAACGTCTCTATGTACAACTTGTCACTAGTCTAGGGGCCGTACACGGTACGGCGGTATACATTCAACTGTAAATATAATTGTAGCAATATAATCGACTCGTAAATATTCTTATATCAATATTTTTCTAAATAAATAATTAATTTGTCATAATACTTTATTTGTCAGCCTCGACACCTATACGACGTACTCTTACTTACGCGGAGGTCGCTCCCGGCGACGTCCTAATACTGTACAAAATATTAATCATAAATGTGATCCGTTCAGTAAAGCTAGAGCTTGAGTGGGGAGAGGGCCAGAGTGGACGGTGCGGAGTCAGTCTTGTGAGGAGCGCGTCTCCTCGTCCGGCTGCAGCTCGGCCTCCGCCGCCGACGGGATCGTATGCAGCAGGCGCGGCGCCAGCGCGGGCGGCGAGCTCGGCGGCTCGTCGCCCGACACGGCCGGCTGGCGCGTCAGGCGCGGCC